TGATGATGATGATGATGGAGAAGATCATGATGATGATAGAAGAGAAGAAGATGATGATGATGATGATGGAGAAGATCATGATGATGATAGAAGAGAAGAAGGAGATGATGATGATGATGATGGAGAAGATCATGATGATGATAGAAGAGAAGAAGAAGATGATGATGGTGGTGGTGGTGGTGGTGGTGGTGGAGGAGAAGATAATGATGATGATGAGGGAATGGGAAAAGAAGACGACGATAATGATGGTGGAGAAGATGATCATGATGATGATAGAAGACAAGAAGAAGATGATGATGATGGAGGAGGAAATCATGGTGATGATGAGGGAGCAGGAAAAGAAGAAGACGATAATAATGATGGACGAGAAGATCATGATGAAGAAGAGGGAGAAGAAAAAAGAAGATGAGAAAGAAGGAGGAGGAGGTTAATGAAATATTTTTCAAATACACAGCAGGGAGCTGATGAAATTTCAGAAGGGAACACAGACAGGTGTTGGTCCCACAGTATTAAATTTAATAGACACTTTTTTTTTCAAAAAACCAAGCTGTACATAAGAGAATCATGTTTCACTTGTAATCCTCTTTTTTTCCCACTGAACCTGTGATTTCATTGGTAGGTCACCCCCAGCCAGGAACTCCTCTCCCAAAGCATATCAGCACCTTCTCTGCAAATGGAAGTCTTCAAGAGGTGGCCAGGACCCTTAGAAGTGCATGATTTGCCAAGGGTCACAGAGCCAGCCTGGGCCTGAGCTGGAACTTAGATGTTTTTGACTGCAAGTCCAGCACTGTCTCTCTTCTTTCTTTCTCTGTCTCTCCCCCTCCCCCCCTTCTTTCTTTCTTTCTCTCTGCATATTATGCTACCTCACTACGATCCTCCTTTTTCATCCTTTTGGCATGGAAATGCTCCTGTTTGATATTTATTGTCTTTATATTTTTTAAGTAAGAGAAAGACTATTTGTAGGAAAAAAAAAAAAGGAAAAGTTTATTAAGTTCATCATGAGGACAGGAGAGCTAGAAGGGAGCCCAAGCTAAAGCAATAGACCAGAACTGACGAAGTGAAAAGAAGGAGGAGAATCTGAGAGATGGAAATCGGCACCATCTTGGAAAGAATGATGATGGTGCATCAAGGTGCGGTGAAGGTATTGGAGATGATGGGAAGGCAAGATGAAAAGGAAAATGCTCAAAGTAAAAGATTTCAGGCTGAGTGATGTGTATGACTCATAAATTCCTGGGGTGGTCTTCTTAATGAGCTTTTGGACGAAACTCGAAATGCCTGGGCAACTGCAAAAATCCTTCTGTTTCATACACACACACACACACATAGCATTTGCATCCATTTCCCTTTGGTACCCTTGATACCCAAACTTTGGCTTCCACCCCCAGAGTAGCTTTGTATTGGTTTAGTATTCTTGTTTCATAATGTGGAGCAATAATAACAGAGATGGTACTGTACGTTCCCCCAACAAGAGTATGATTTTACCGTAATTACCATCTGATTGGATAAATTTTGTGTTGGTTGCATGATTTTGGGGGACTATGGTTGAATAGGAATCCTATTTCCTCTTCACCATGGTCCGCCATGGGCCCATTTCTTTGGGTCTCAGGAATTGCCAATGAGTCTTCCTTTGGATCCCTACAGTAGATGTGAGAGCTGTAGACAATGAGGACAATATGGCACAGGGTACAACTCTATTTCAATGAAATCACACTCACAGACATGAATATAAGAACTTGGAAGGGAGCTTGAAAATCATCTGGGAAAGTTCCTTTATTACATTGATGAGGAAGCGGAGGCCTTGACCAGGTAATTCACTGAGCACTCTGCAGTGCAACAACCATGTCTTGGAATTGGCCTTCCAAAGAGTTGAGAACATGTACCTCCCAGCCTCTCTTTGCAGAAGAAGGGGACTTTGAATGCATGAGATTGTATATTCTACATCAGACAACAAAACAGAAAACGAGGGGATTCATGAACTGAATATGCATTTTTTAATTAGAAGGGCAACAGATTAATAAATCTAAAACAGGCATGCAAGAGGAGATCCTAAAAATTAGAGAAGAAATAGAGAAATAGGAAGCCAAAAAAATCCAGGGATAAAACTAAAAGCTGGTTCTTTGAAAAAACTAATAAAATTGATAAACCTTTAGCCAAATCTGATTAAAAAGAGTGCAAAAAATAAAATCAACAAAATAACAATGAGTAAGGTGAAGCTACATCAGATCTAGAAGATATAAAAGAATAATCAGAACCTGTCGAATATAATTATGTTAACAAAACTAAGAACATGAAATAAAACGTTAACTTCAAAAATATAAATTATAAAAACTAACAGAAGACCAAATAGACATCCTAAATAAATATCACAATCTCAGAAAAGGGAATAAAATTAGCTGTAAAGGAACTACTAAATAAAAAAGCTCCTGGGTCCTAATGGATTCCATCAAATCTTTCGAAGAGATGGTTCAACGGATAGAACATTTAGCCCAGAGTCAGGAAGGCCTGTG